CATCAGTTACCATGGAGATCTAGCTCCACAGCATCAGTTACCGTGGAGATCTAGCCGGGTAAAAAGAGAACCACCTTCATGACACTGAAAACTCTGACTTTAAACTCAACATACCTGCTAACCCACTAATCTCGCTTCGTAGAACAACCGTCAGGTGGTGAATCTCCCCAGAGGCTCTGTTTTCTTGTTGATCTTAGTCACGAGGGGAGAGAATTCCCTTCTGTTAAAAGCCAACAAATAATCAGCCACTGGTTTCAAGAACACCATCCTCGTGTTTCCTATTTACATGAACAAGACATCTTCACTTGCATAAATCTGCACATTCACATGATGCAAAAAAAAATATTTATGTTGGCCTTTTGTTGGTTGGACCATTCTCCATAGCGCTGTGTAGAATGTTCTGACTGCACCTCAACCTCATTGAACTACAGGAGGGTAAAAATGTTCTTGATTGTTTCTTTCTCTTCGTTGAAACCAATCAAAATCATATTGGGCGATGCTCAGCCCAGGATGCAGCAGTGGTGCCCCATGAAAATAATGACGGGAGAACATGTTTTGCTGAAGCTATTTTCGGAAGTAAACGGGGATTTAGTCCACAGTAACACACAGGTAGCAGAAGAAGAGGAGGAAGTCACATGGAAAGTGTGGCAGAAATGGAAGGCTTGTATTCAACGTCCACATCTGGTGGGTCAGATGAAGTCGACGGTTATTTTGTTTATACAGTTTGTCTTCCTGTCCTGTCAGTGTTGAATGGCGGTGATAGTTTGGTAGACATCATTCGTGGGCTGCTGAAGGCTTGTGTAAAGCTCATCTGGGTCATTTTCATTCTGTAAAATAAAACAATGCAACATGTTGTAAAGTCTGACTGAACAAATGTTGAGAATCTGTCGCCTCTGAGTGTCTCCGTTCACAGAAACGTCTGCTTTTAAATGGATTCATGTATTTTCTAATAACAAACATGAAACTAAAACTATGAATCATTAGAATATGTTACTCACTGAAGAGCCAGGAGTTTCATGTGCAGGTGATCCACATGCTTCTGGCCTTGAACAGTACGAAAAGATGTCAGAGTTAGTGGAACATATGTTCACAAGCACAAGAAGAAAATCCAAAACGGACGCTTTATAGTCATGAATGTGGAAGTTTATTCAGTCAATGTTTTCACTGCTTCACATGGAAATGAAAGATCAAATTTACAACTGTAGTCCTTTAATGATTTTTAAGATGAGATATATTTGTATGTGATATTGTTAGAATGGAACTTTTAAAAAAAAAATCATTGAAAATAATTTCAAAAAATTGCTTTCCTGACACCATGTACATTCCAGTAGTGACTCACCTGCGGCGGCGTCTTCTGAATATGAATCCCAGAATAATTAAAGTTGAAATGATGACCACACAGCCACCGGTCAAAGCATAACGAGTTGTCATTTGAACTGGAGATACATCCTCTGAATCTGTGTGAAGATCGTTCTTAGTTCATTGAACTTATTTCTCAAGCTTAGTTAATTTTACTGCTCATAAGACGACTGAAGTAATTAATCAATCAAAGTGCAGTTAACTCACATTTCAAAGGCAGCAGGGAACTTAGTTTTAAAGCTGATTGAATTTAAAATGACTTATAGTGTCCAAATCAAAGCTGAGAAATCATCGAAAAGACGACAAAAACACAAATGTGTTCCTCTAAATACTGTAGGATTGAGTACAGACATCATGTCACATTAGAGAGTAAATATATTAACACAAAACCACATTAGAATCAGTTAACATATGATGGAAAGAAGATAAAATGTGCTTACCTTCTACTGTGACATTGAGATGGAGAATATATGTTCCTCCATGATGTGAACACTCACAGGTGTAGTTTCCACTGTCGGCAGGTTCTAAACCGCTCAGGTGGAGAAATACGATCTGATTGTCTTTGATCAGTGAGAATCTGGAGTCACATCGATGTTCAAACTCAAAGTGTCCATGTCGATACAGCAGACGACACTCTTGTCTGTTCCTCTCTGTTCTGATCTTACAAACTATCAGCGTGATGAATTTCTCTGTTTCATTGCTGCATATTGGAGTAACATCTGCTTCATTCCCAATTGTCTTCACCAGAGTCACTGAAATCAATCAGTTACAATCAATATTAAAAACATTCTGAATGAGTCATTGCTGTAGTTTTGCATTTTCAGAAAGTTTAA